CCAATGTACTGAAGATGGTAAACAACATTGATAATTCTAATGTTCAGAATTGCACATTATTAGAATACGCAAATAAAAACTGCCTGATACTATCAAACATTGTAAGATCAAAATTACCATGTAGCAAGCAAATAAATAAATTATTATTATTATTATTATAAAAAAAGATCGATAAATTTAATTACTATTTTAATTTATTAAAGAAAAATTAACATAAATTAAATTATTAATATCGGTAAAATATTAACGAAATAAATATAGACACTACCCGTTTACTAACTGCAAGAAACCTGCTGAAAAAATATACTACCTGAAATTGGCAGAATATTAATTGGGTTAGTAGATGCAAGATTCTTTGAAATGAATACAAATTCAATTCAAAGAAGAATTTCACCAAGTTCCAACTATTAATGCAGATTCTGAGAATACCAAAACCAGAGTACCATACCGCTTTAGGTTGATATCTACCTCAGAATCATATCCATTTAAATTGATATTTTTTATGCATTTTATAATGAACTTTCACAAAAATAATCTTACAACAGTGTCATGAAGTAACAATGTAAATATTAATAATAATTGTGTTAGATGAGAATTGTGAAATAAAATAACAATAGCAATAAATTATATTATATATCTGTCACAAATAATGGAGCAGGATTGAAGTTTCTTAAATTAAAACCTTTGTTTTCTTTGTGTTGATAACACATTTTATAATGGATAGGTAGCCGATTTTAGTGATTATTTTCCAATTGTAAGAATTTTGTTCCTTATTGAAATATTCTGTTTGACGATTGAAACTCGGTTACTTAAATTTTTTATTTATAAGAGTATCGACAATGTTTTATTTTAAATTTACTAACATTTTTTTTCCTTTTAGAATCTTCACCACTCACCTAAAATATATGTATACTATATAACTTATTATATGTCATAAAAAATAACGAAACATTGTCTCATACTAACAGTATTAGTTAGTAGATTGTTTATCTAAGCGGTAGTGTGCCCTACCTACCATAGACAAGAGAACTCTAACTCGAACAAAACTCGTGATACAACTCATAAATACAGTTGCAATAAGTAAGACAGAAACAATGGTAATTCATAAAGTTAAACAATAAATACTTACATAAAAGAGAAGGCTGCATCGTTATCAACATACGGGTGACACCGTCACCTTGGCACGGTTCCACGGTTCCGATGAATCTTCCACAGACACGATGGTGGCTATCGGAGTTTAAAAAAAAAACAAAAACACAACCAAGGCCAAAATATGTTTGTCTAGACAATAGTAACACTATTTCGCTGGAATTTACCTCATATCTGACCCCTAATTCGATTAATCATATCTGGAAGTTTCCTAAGATAAGTTTAGAGATGTAAATAGGAAGTTGTTATCTTAGTTTTGCCCTTAAAATCAATGTTTGTTTGTTCGTCATTCACATCTCCGTCATTAGGCAAGGTCTAAGAAAAAGGTAATTAAATAAAAAATCTGATATTTGGACAGAGACAACATATTTTACTGATATAATGTCTGATTTAAAAATCAGAATATGTTTTTCAGTACATGTTTCAATGAATAAAATTCAAAACGATAAGAATCCTTTTTATTTACTATTGAAACAAAAGAACTATCACAAAAGGAAATAGGTAGTAATATGAAATTTATTTCCGAATAGTATCTATAATTGCCATATCGTATAAATTTTAACCTTGACTTTGAACTTAATAATATCTATTAAAAATTGAATAATTTCCTCATATTCGTATACATAATTACAGTCTCTTGCTGATATATGTAGGTCTAACAGGAAGTATGCCGAATAAATAGTTTCTACAACATTAAAAAAAGTATATTCAAAGTATATAGGTGTTAAGGTTAGTTGATTAAAGATTATTTCTATCTCTGTTAGCTCATCATCATTTTTCAACCACATAGCATTCCATTATTGAATATAGATCCCTTCATAGACTTGACAAAGAACGGTCAAGTATCTCTGCTATATATTTGAACGTTTTGCTCCACCTTGCTGCTTTCTCGCTTTGTAGTGGTTTTGCCCATAAAAATTGTAGCCCCAAAATCTTTTTTCTACATTACTTTAAAATTATTTTATATAAATGATGTCTCATCATTTTCTTCCCGTGAATCTATACATATAATAAAATTACAGAGGTAGAATGTATGTACATAGAAAAAAAACACAATAACCGAGTCTGAGGAATGGTAGAAGTGAAATTGTAATAATAATATCTGAATGTGCTAACCAGATTTTTATCATATATTTTGTTTCTCTATCTGTTTTTATGGGCTAATCTCCAAAATTGTTGGACCGATTTATATGAAATTTTGCGTGGTAGGTACATGAAATTTTGCTTCTTGCACTTCTAATAATCACGGATAATTAAAGAGTTCCCGTGGGATAGTTAAAAAAGTACAGTAATCTATACTTTTAAGGATGTAGATCAAGTTCACTACAATAAAGAGATTAAAAATGTTAATCGAAGGAATAACAAATACCACGCGGACAGAGTCACGAGCATCAACTAGTTCATAACTTACTGGTAGAATATTGGTACGGACCTCTCAGATTAATGCTAGTCGAATACGCTTATAAATAATGATCATGTTAATTGATGTGTTGCGCATGTAGTAATTTAAAAAAACTTATTACCTGCAGACGTTATAAAATAAGAAAGTAGAATGGCGCCGCGTTAAATTTACTGTGGCAGTCACTATTCCGGTAGGTCAGTTCAACTGCATTATGTTTGTTCCGAAACACAGAAAAATTGCAAAACATTAAGAGCGACATTTTAATCCTTGCGTTATGTAAACTGTTGGGCAACTATATCCAAATTTAACCGAATTAAAATTGTTCCATTCAGATCATCCGGTAACCGAAGAATTACACTTGTCGACATTGTATTATTAGTACATTTGGTATAGATTCACCATAAAGGTCCCATAGCGATTTACATTTGGAATTTGTGTAACTGATCGGTATTCATTTGAGTAATTAAGAAGCATGATTTCAAATAATTATATCCAAATATCAAACAGAAAAAAAGAATTAAGTAGAAGCAGATTAGAATGAAAATTTAAGACTCTTTTACATCCAAAAGAAATCATAAGAGACAGCTGAAACAAAACACAAACGCATCAGTAAAAACGATGGAAATTTCAAAATAAGCCTGGCCAACAGATTTTTAAATAAAATATACTCAATAGATATAACCTCGTCAAATTCTCAGTTTAGTAGAGAAAAGGTGTGCCCTTTTTTAGACTGTCTTTCGTCCTCATAATATTAGTATGGAAATAGATACGGGCCAAGGAGTGAAATGATAATGGTTTGTTATTGTTACGAATATAAAACTATAAAAAGAATGACACAGTTCGGTCACAACATATTATAAACATTTGCTATCACACCTCCCTTTCAATATTTAAATTCGGTAGTCAAATGTCGAATATCTTTGTTCACATTCCACGTTTGGGCGTGTTTCTGTTATATGTATGCTAATCTGTGAACCTAATGACATATCTAACTGCGGCAGCAATTTGCTATAGACGTGAATTCGTGGACACGTGGTAATATAATAATTTTACAATAAATTATGCAGATTTCACACTTCCTACTCTACTCATTGTAAAAAGTGTTATTTCTTCTTAAAAACTTTTTTTTATTTAATTATAATAACAAACAAACTTACGGCCTACTTGATGATAAATGGCAACCGTTTCCTATATACATGAACAATACTACATGTGTAGATGTGACCGTGGTACTTATGAATTTCCATTTCAGAGGATTAAGATGTCCTACCTCCTTACCGTGTATTTTTTTTACACTACCATATGTATATAATAGCATTATCAATATTATGAAAAGTGATATAAAGGAACGGGAACTAATTGTAACATCATTTCTAACAATCTTCTATCAAATTCTCCAATATGTGAACCCTATGTAAACCACCAAGAAAAATTCCTAGTCAGTTATAAGAAAGCTTTCAATTCAGACAATAATTACATTTCAATCAACTTACTCATAATTTTTTCTGCTTTTAATAAGTCTGTTTGCGTTTTGACAGAAGCCTCTCCCAACATTTTTCATTCTTGTCTTGTCCTTGTAATATTTTGTGCCATGTTTTATTTATTATCATATTTGTAAAATCGTAATCCCATCGTCTCAATACTCCTCTTTTACGTTTATCACCTCTTGGGAACATCCCACTATAGTTAGATTAGCCCATTTTAATGGTGGAATGGCACTATGGCGTAAATTACTCTATTGGTTTAGTGACTCAGATAGTTTCATATTGAGATTCATAAAATTTACGTAGGTACACGTAAATTTATTTAGGTACCTCCAGATGCACTTCTGTGTTAAAAAAATGACAATATCATTCACAGTTTAATAATAAACACATTGGTCCTCTATTCTTCAACCACCCCTTTCTCATTATTTCAAGTAAAAAAAATATAACTATATGAATTAAACAATTTACACAACTTACCTATACCGAATATAAGTAAGCAAGTATAACTTAAATTTATATATTTATATGTACTAAAAACATTCACTTTTCACAAAAAAATCCATTTAAATGGTCATGAAATTAATATGGGACTAATATGAGACTAATATAAACTCTAATGTAACCATTACAAAAAGAATGACCTAAATCGGTGCGATATTGTCGAAGATGTTGCATAACACAGCATATAGCCGAAACGAGAACATCCTTGTTTTTGATAAGACACATTCAAGGTCATTACCTAATCCCCCACATCCTCGCACAATCCCCAAATGCCGCTAAGCAGTGGGGTGAGGTGTGGCACTCCTACTACCGTCACTCGCTCCGTAGTCGCGTTGCCGTGAACTTGCCCTGCTCCGCCGTCACCCTGGCCCCGAGGCGTTATCGGAGGCGCCGCCGGCGGCCTATAATAGCTCAGCCGGCGTCTCCTCCTGCCTCCAGAATAGCCTGTACCTTCGCCAGACATGTTTCGCGTTTTGTGCATCCTCGCTCTCGTAGCCGCAGTCCACGCATGCAAGCCCTGCAGTGAGTGTGTTCTGAATTATGTTTGGTTACAGATCTTCGAATGAAGACCTTAATAGTGTACGTGTAGTGATCATTATTTACAATTTAAGTATTTATAAAAAATAAATCTTATTTGTGGTAAGTGATCTACATTTAGTGAAAAGTGTCTTAAACGTCATGACTTAAAGTTGTTAATAGCTTAAATAACACTAATTAGGTAAGTAGGTACACTTAAGAAGTATTCGCGACGAACGAACTTAAATTTTATTCGCGTTTCATTACTAATCATACAAATTTTGGTTATGTCATATAACTATTGCTAATAAATTTCAAGTGCTTTTAGAGAGCTAGAACGCATAACTCTTACAAGACAGTTGCAATAAGTTAGATACTCACAAGTATGTTAAGAGTATAGTTAAAGAAAACATACTCTATATGTCGAATTAATTATTAGTCGAACCAATTAATGGAATCAGAGAAAATGTTACAATGTTATGCTATTAATTTGTAAGAATCGAATCTAGAGCTCAAAACCAAAGTTACGATACACTCGTAGCTCTGGCAGACATTGACAGAAAGGTGGAAATTAGTACAAATAAAAAAGACAGTACATAGTAAAGTTCCCATAGAAATTGTTTATTCAGAATTCAGTATTAAGTAATTTCAGTTTCTATTAAGTTTTACAAAATTAAATGGTTTTTTATGTCTGTATATGAACTATATTTGACATATCAGTCAAAATTAAGTTAATAAGTAATATCAAATTAAGCAGTAAAATCAAGTATTAAAAACTTTCTTAAACCAAGTTTAAAAATAATTTATTATCGTTAGTAATGGATTGCAGGAAAGATTAATAAAGTAAGAATTTTATTTACAGTATCATACACATATAAATCTTTAGTTACACGCGAATATAGGGATATAAAAAGTTAAAATATTATATAGGAAGTTCTTATTAAGGATTTTCTCATTAAATCTATAAATCTTATGTATAAAATCCTCGTATCACGGTATTAGTTACCATACTCCTCCAATACAGCAGTTTCCTGCTTGACCGATTATTATGAAATTTTATATGCATATTCAGAGTAGGTCTGAGAATCGGCTACTATCTATTTTTCATACCCTTAACTGTGTTGTTCGCCCCCAAGATTTATGTTTTATTTTTTGGACAATGTATATTTTTTAATAATGTGGCATTAAAAAATACATACAACCCTAAATTTTCAACCCCTATTTTTATATGACAAAACAACGTTTAGTTTCTTATAATATTAATATTAGATATCTTCCTCAGATTACTCATCTAGAGTTTTCAGTTTGTGTTGTTGCGCACATATTATATTTGCATGTACATAGAGCTATCTTTATCGCATATAGATCGCCAGTTACTCTAGTTCTTTGACAATAAATTACAAAACACTAGTTACATAGATAATATTTTTAAACATACCCACGCACGTAGGAATATTACAGATATGTCTAAACAAATACATATTATAAAGAGGAAAAATTTATATTCTGTTTATAATGTTTCATACATCTTTTTTACGAAATAAGTAAAAAAGTTTCACATTTTTTGTTTTTTCACTCTTAAAATTTTGTTGTCTACATGACACGAATTTAATGCTTCATGATGTTATAATTCAAGATTATTGCACATACTATAAATCTTGAAAAACTGTCAAGTTTTTACGAAAAGTTGATGTTCTAAATATATATATATTAAATGGATATACAAGATATTTTTACATTTGTAAAATAACGTCAGATTAACGAGAGGAAGTTTAAGACATGCTGTGACAAACTCCAGAAATTAAATGAAACATCATTAAATTCTTGTAATAAGACAGTCCAACCTATCCAATTAAAAAAAATTGTCTGTAATTTTAAAATTTTACTAATTACATATGAAAGTATATAGGGTACTTAAATCACAAATTAGTTTTAAACATGTTGCAATCTGTTTGTTTTTCCTAATCTCTGAAAAGGCTGGACCGATTTTGACGGGACAGATACCTAATGTTATAAAGAGTAACTTAACCTACTTTTGTTTTAGAAGTTTTATTTGTTTACTAGCTTTTGCCAGCGGATTCGTCGCGTTAATTTATCCCCTTAGGGATGGAATTTATCAAAATCTTTTCTTAGGGGATGCCTACGTCATAGTAGCTTTATGCATGCAAAGTCTCAGCCCGATCGGTTTAAAATTAACAAACTTTCATCCCCTATTTTATTCCCTTGGGGGTAGAAATAATCAAAATCCTTTCATAGCGGATGCCTACGTCATAACATAACATCTACCTGCATGCCAAATTTCAGCCCGATCCGTCCAGTGGTTTGGGCTGTGCATTGATAGATCACTATGTCAGTCACCTTTAAGCTATATATATATAGATTTTAAAAAAAAGATCAAAACAAAGAGTCGGATACGTTTACATGATAGCCCTGGCATTTCAGGTGTCCATAGGCTATGGTAACTATATGGTTATCTGCCACCATTGCAATATAAATAAATAAGGTCTTGTGTTTCTGATGAACAGCATGTGGAGTGGCACGAGGTGGCAGAGTAGTCGGTGGGGTGGCAGTTTCCCCTGGCGAATTCCCCTGGCTGGCGGCCCTCCAGAGAGATGGCAAAGTAATCTGTGGGGCTACAGTTGTTGCGAGGGACCACTTAATCACCGCTACACATTGTATTTATGGGTAAGGTTTTTTTTATGAATTTAATATACCAAACAACCTAGGTCTACCCTAATGTTTTTTCTCTTTTTCTTTCTTTCATTTTTATGGAAAATAAATAAAGAAAAAAAATTTAGTGCTCTTATTTACATTAAAAACAAAGATATTGGGTGTACAGGTTTGTTTGAAACATCGTCTATATTTAATAAAATTACAGGATAATAGTCATGACACTTTAGTTCTCTGGAATGGCAACGCATGAGTGATATCACGGGTGTCACATGATAACGTGATATCCGTAGTGCTGCTCATGTTTATAAGCATATTTGTTATGCTATTCGATGAAAATTGGAGCAGGTACTATTTGTAATGAGAGCATAATATTGTAGAAGTATTATGTGTAGTAAAACTACATATATAATGGATATTAAGCGATCGGGCAATTTTAATCAAATAATAGAATAATAATATCTCTAGACAATGCACACAGCGCCATCTAGCCCTAAGCTACGCCGAGCTTATGTTATGGGTACTAGACAAATCGTATTTATGACTCTGACTAATATATTTCCTTTTGTAAAAACAACCCGTTCATAAATCATAAACAATCATACTTATGGATACTAACGTTGGCACGGAAATTTACCTGCGACCATTGTAAGTAAAGCAGTACGCTAAACCACTAGACCACCGAGACTATCAATGATTTTGGAGGCGGTACCTTAGTTTTTTAGTTAAATGTGTAAATAATATTATAGTTAAATAATATTTTTAGACAAAGTTAACTTTAAGATGTGTCATAATAAAAAAGAAAAGAACTTTTGCCCTATTTAATTGTTATATCAACTACAAATTAATGTACCCATTAGCGTTGCCAGACGTCCCGTATTTCCCGGGACGTCCTGTATATTAGGCTTAGTGTAAAATGTCCCGGCGCGGCGACCCTGACTCTGTCCCGTATTCGAATCGTGGTCAGTTTTTTTATTATCAAACCGATCGATCTACACTAGACAATTTGTCCCGAGTAAAAAACTAAATTCCCGTATTTTTTGCTATTTAAGCGTTTGCCCCTTATAGGCTGAAAAAATCTGGCAACTCTAGTACCCATACAGTTAGCAATAAAGATATATTCCATTCTATTCTATTAATAACATTCAATTTGCCGTCATGTAGGTACTTATTATATGTTATGTTATATGTTTTTCGGACGGTAAACAAAGCCATCCGATATACCTGTTTTAAAATTAAAAAATATTGCATATGAAAGTTTAAATTACCTCCAAAACTAACGCCAACACAAATATTAATTACGTAACCACAGACACATATACGAAACAAGAAGTATATTATGACACTCTAGGATATTTACTTTCTATATAGAAATAATAGGAATCAATGCCATACAATTAGATAACGAACTTCTGAGGCCTAGAAACACATAGTTATCCGTCACATCCTCATATTAATATCACCATACGAACCTCATTGAAGCTCGGGGCAAATGACGATGCCGAAATTCAACAACCACTTTCAAAGAATTGAACCCGGGACTAGGGGCCGTCGTTTGCCCCTAGTGCCGTCATTTGTCGAATTGAGAAACAATTTTAACCTAAGCAGATACTATATATATGTATACTTAATATTTGTATGTTTACGCATGTATATAGTGTATATTTATGTGTTGTATATCTTGTTAAAGAATAGTTTAAATCAAGCGTCATATAAAATATGTCAGAGGACTAGGTTACGTAAAAAAATAAACGGCCTCGGTGGTTTAGCGGTTTAACAAGCCGCTTTACTTCCGATGCTCGCGGGTTCGATTCCTCGCACGGTGCAAGCATTTATATTCATGAGTATGATTGTTTGTATCGGACTGGGTGATTTTTATGTATGTTATGTTTGTATTTACAAAAAATATATCTAAGTATTTAACAGATGTCTAGTAACTATAACACAAGTTCTACTTACCGTGGGATTTTTTTTTGTGGGTGTTAATGGAAAGGAATACCCGCCTACGCTAACGGTTTACGCTAGCGGGGCACCAGTGGAGGATGATAAGATGAACATGAAGTCAGATCAGTTAGCCCAAAGTGACAAATTCACCGGGAATTTATCACGACGGTTTCCAGGGGGAACCGCGTGGAGGTCGACCTGACATGTTACATTGCTAGCAATGGGATCATTAGTCCACATTACTAACAATTCCCTCCCCCCGCTTACCGTGGGTTTAGATGCTTCTGTGTTAATTATCCAGGGTTTTTTATTATTTATAATTATAGTTACGCAAACTACCATAATGAGAAGGTGATGGTGAAATTAAATTAAAGTATAGGCCAAAACCTAAACATAATTTCTTGAAAGACCGCGTGGGGGTCGACGTGACTATTTCTACCTAACATCCCCCGGACGTGATTCGTTGTACAATGACAGATAAACTGGGTCTATGTAATTGTTATCTAACCTTGGTAACCTCACGTGTTGACATTGATGCCTACACCTCATAAGGTCAAAGTCATATAAACAGAAACCATAACTAACACCATTGTGTAGATAAGACGAAATTATACCTAGTAGTTAGTCCCTTATTTTGTCTGTCATTGTGTCTACTGTACTATCTCCTACACGACATATTAGTACAATATTTATACTTTACTAGTGACGTGTCCCGGCTTCACACGGATGCATTATATATATTTGGATTTCTCTGCTTGTACTATACATGCATGTATAATATATATAAACCTTCCTCTTAAATTACTCTTTCTATTGCTGAAAACTACTAGATATATACGAACAGACAGCGGAGGTGACTTTGTTTTACAATATATAAAGATTCTGTACTAGATAAGTCGGCGGTTTTGTACCTGTATAACTTTTTTTATTCTAAATTGATTGAAATAAAACGCTTAGTGATAACCATTCTCAAATCGGTTTAGCCGTTTCTGGACTTAGAACCAATATTTTTTTAGGTATGTATTGTAGTCAATCTAATAATGTAAAAGGAACAATTATATTATATATATATATATACATATATACCTACATACTGTGCTCCAGAATAGGTATAATGTAACCTGTTTCCTTCTTCCAACCATTTGCTAAATATTTTCCAAATTTCATGATGAGAAATTAAGGCGGAATAACATAACAAACAAACAAACCTCTCTTTGCTTTGTCGTCGGTAGTATTAGTTAGAAAAAAAGAGAAGGACATCTGTTTATATTTTATTCTCTAATTCACGAGTCCTGAATGTGTGAATGAAAATTTGTCGTTTGATTTTATAACAGTCTGTATGTTTAGAAAGATCGCACACACAAAATATTGATTAAATATTTGATCGCTCCACATTTTACAAGGGGCGGTAGGAAATTTGTAATATACACAATGTAAACAAAGCCACGTCGGCTTAATGATATTTTAATATTTGCACACTTGCCAAATATCTAGGCACTAATAATTAGAGACGGACTGTCGCTTCGTACATCAGATAAGCAAACAGCGTATTATTTGTGGAACTATGTGGGTGAGGTGCGAACATTATACTTAAAGTGAAAGCTAATCATTATTTATCCTCTAAAGGTGTTATTAGATATACATATGTATATAACTATGTTGTACCGTCATAACTGCATACCATTTAGGATATGTTACACCTTTACAATTCTTTCTAAATTACAATAAAATAATTTACATAAATAGGGGGACAGACATTTTGAGTACTAGGCACTATAATAATAATAGTAATAATTGTATTTTAAAATATGTTATTGCTGGGAATGTAATGGTTTCCAGGGGGATATTAGTCACGTTGGGCTTGACCAACTGGGATCAACTGACTTAATTCATGCTAATCTTATCATCCTCCACTAAATATATCCTATAAAAGATTATATTTTAGTAAAATAGTACTTAATTTACTTTAGTAGTATAATAAGTACTTAAGAAAACACCTAGACCGATATTATTGAATACAAATGTTTTTGTGGTACAGGGAATTGAACCCGCAACCATCGGATAAGGCGGTGTGCTAAACCGCTTGGTCTAGCGAGGACGTCAAATAAAGTTGTTGTGTTCAAAGATAAAAGCAATATATGTATATATCTATTAATATTAAGTAATGTAAAATTATATTTAAGGTGATATTAATTATTGTTTGTTACAACACAGATAATTCATTTATCAGAATACTGCACACTATTTGCCGCGAAAATATCTGTCATAAACTGACCTACATTTTCGCGGCATTTCGCACTGTCTTTTTAAATTTTTATTTAATATATTTTACGGCTTTGGATAGATGACATTTTGAGCCCAACTGTAACAAGTACACTAAACTCGAAGTTTTGTAATACCAATTACAAAAACCTGAAGGTGTTATCTGCCTATTCAGAGAAACGAATTCTGTGCTAATGTCATGCATGGCTTTAAAAATCAGAAATATCCAAACGTGAGGTTGCAGTAAAGACGTCATAAAACGAGGTGAAATGAAATTATTTCTCAATCTCATTGTCAGTACCTATGCCCTTTGGGGTTGTGACCCAAATTTTTCATATTCGACCTTTTCGACACACTTTCGAGTTATGCAATGCGCATCTGCTCATTGGGAATGCAGATATTGCATATATGTGCATAGACCCTACAAATTAAACTAAAATGAGGCAACGACTTCAATAAGCTATAAGATGGCCTCGATTTGTCGTATGTACTGAATAGAAATTATTTAATTACCACCGATCTCAATACTCTACTATTCATATTAAATATTCAATATGTTAAAATAGAGCATAAATAAATGTGAGCGAGGCTATCACAACGCTATCTAGTCCCAACCAAAGTAACTACTACTACTAGTAGTATAATAATACTACTACATATGTTATCTGTGAATTGTACTACCTTACTTGATAACAGATAAATTCATTTTACTTAAATTGTGTCTTAAATATATATCTTTCCAATAACATATACATAGAGAAATCGCAAACCAATACTAATAAAGATATATAATAAATTTAAATGTTTGCATCGTACGGCGATCGAACCTACAATTATGTCCTGATATACGCGCAAGGTCATTATGATATGTTTGTGACGTAATAAATTAAATTGATGCAAACCGGTGGGGGCGTGGTCCACCGCCTGCGAATGGCAATCAATCGTCGACCCAAAAACTAACAACGAAAAAAGCTGAACAAACATATCGTCAGATGATTCCTTCCGTAATGCAACTGAACACAAACTCGGGGCGAATAATGAGGCAAGAAAAAATAAGAAATGAGGGTATAAATACTTGTACCTAATATTTCAAGAGGCACTAAAACGTCATAAAGTTAGAAGAATATAAAATATCTGCAAATATGCTAACCGTAATTCGTGGAAATTCGTTATTGATATTCCTAGACAAATATGTCTTATAATCTCATCCAGACGCAAATTTAATCACTTCTTTCTATACTAAGGTTGCTTAGAAGAGATCGCTATTTTGGCGAAAAAGCCGCTAATAGTCTTGCTAATAATAAAAAAATATTTTTATCTTCCTGTTTTTCTGTGAGAGAAGCAAATATGAGTTATTTATTAACTTATAGAACGTAATTAGCTATTGGATGATGTGCTTACATATCTTCGTATTGCTTTTCTGTTTATTATTACGAACTCATGTAACGCTGCTGGCCGCAAATGGTCAACTTTTGTAACCATGGGTATGATTGTTTGTATTAGTCATTTAATATATTATACATATTAAAAAAATGTAATTTGGTATTTCACTCAGATATTTAGTTCATGAAACAAGTCTTCCGCACCCTGCGCAGGGCGGTCGAGGTAGGGCATGTCGAGCCTCGACCCCCTTTGCCCTGGGATCGACTCAGGGGGCAAGAATGATTAGACATTTAGTTCATACAAACCAATGGTTTGGGAACTAACAAACTCTGCTTAGTTTGGGACTAGATGGCGCTTTATGCATTGGTCCAGAGTCCAGCGTCATTTTTATTAATCTACAAATGTTTAAATAAAGCAAAATCTTTTCTAACTACCCAATTACTTTCAACTTTACAGACTAAACTATTGTGATATTTATAGAAGCATAAAAAATATGAACTACAATATTTGCATGATCGAAAGCACTCAACAACTTATGATTGGTGATTATTAAACTTAGTTGAAGACCGTTAATCATATATTTAGTTACATTGTATTAGGTACACGAACTTGTCGACCTGACTTATTGAACCGGAGTATTGTTCTTGAAGCAATCCAACAAGTGTGTCAGTGGTCCATACGAGTCTTCAATTTCGTATCACTTACCCATCACTATTGCTAACGAACTATTGACCCCAAACCTCAAAAATTCGCGAGTCTCTCTACCTAAATAATCAATGCATAATACTAAAATAACTATGTAATTGAGGTTCCATTAGAATGGTGCATATTTATAGAATTTTAATTGACACAGTAAGTTTTTTAGTCTGCCATATTTGAACTCACGACCTTGATCAGTAAAAGTCCAGGGTAATAAGCCACTAGGTCACTATGTTCTCCTGTATATACATTCTTATCAGATGATATATGATATTTGAGCCCGTCATGGCCTAATGGCTTACTCCTCAGAGAACAAACACAATGGATAAGAAAAAACAGAACGGTCCTCGAAAAAGTTTGAATTAGGTCGACATTGGGTGAGAAAGTATGCCAATTTATATTTCTGACTGACATTCTAATAATAAAATATAATCCAAGATACACCCAGTAAAATGTGGGCAGCCCCGGGGGAACACGGGCGACAAGTTCTGGGAGCGCCAACTTAGCAGAAGAATACACAATCATCTTAACACACCTCTGATAACTTGACCACTGCGACGTCAAGCAAATTATTTTTCGCAGAGCACATACAATCTATTCGTATTTGTGGTCAGCTCCACCAACAAGACCGTGGCTCTTAAATTATGGATGAACAAATGGTTTATTCATATAAAACAATATAAATTAACAGCAATACTATTTCGACATATTATATGTTAATATATATATTGTAAAAATATTAGGCGGGAGTTAGGGAGGGCGGTATTTTACAGTTTTGGTTCCGTCTCGAAAAAAAAAGAATATTAAGGGCTGAATGTGGGCATGACCATGATTAAGTACATCACAACGTCGAAGAAGTCACTCTGAAGCTTTTTTATGAGTACAGAGAGAGAATACAACAAAGAGAGATACAATCTTTACGTAGTATAAACAAAATCCCGCCAAAGTTTGTTCGGTTATATCTTTTAAATAACGCAACGGATTTTAATGCAGTTTTCAGCAATAAATAGAGTGATTCAAGAGGAAAGTTCATATATAAATTACATACGTGTTATATTATAGAACGAGTCGAGAAATTCAAATATTTGTAATGCATCCGTGGTAAGCCGGGATGGGTCGCTACTATGTTATAATTTCTACTTCAAAGACCATCTCATTTACCGGCCTGCACCTTGGCCTAAATAAAAACGTATACATTCTAGATTCTAGATGTATGTATTCTCATTTAAATTACAATAACCTTTTCAAGTTGTATCGATTTAAAATTCATATCGTGGCGAATGAAACAATCGCATAATCGCGCGGCACGTAGCAGTGACGCGGGAACAAATGTAACAGAAGCGCATCTAACCAGTATGATCTTGACACATTCTAAATGACCTCTTGATTTGCATACCGCCACAATATGTTACTTTGTTGTTAATCTGTGACACTGCATGTTTTGTTTTCAATTATCTAATTATTCAATACGCATCGTCGGCAACAAGGGCGAGGTCAAAATAAGTAACAAAACATTGAATAACAATAATATTTACTGTGTAAGGTCATTAAGATGCTTTTATCAATGATGTAGCTAGCTCCAATAGATGCGGATTCGATTCTCGCGGTATTCAAATTAATTATATTTTTTTATAGAATTGTTTACCCAAGTACATAACAATGTTGTATTTTTGAACGTGAATATACTTTAAATATCAGCCCATATAGAAAATTTCTTCAACCAGATTAGTTTGAAGAAATTCTCTGACTATTCAGCATGAATTTAGCCTTCTGTACTTGGCTATATATATACTAAGTGGCAAGTTCAGGGTATTTATCGTTGTTGCATCTGTTTTGGTATGAAACCTGTAGTTGAGAGGTCGATTGGGACTATTATTACTATTTGTAAGTGCCAGAATCGGGTTATTTTATTATTATTATTATTATTTACAGAGTGGAAGCCACTCGTCTCACGGTGTTGGTCGGCGAGTACGACGTGAACAATACGCGCTCAGATGGCATCCAGGTGTCCCACGTGACCCAGCATCCGGACTTCAATCGGTACACATACGACAACGATATAGCAGTGCTGCGACTGGCTGAACCGCTGCCTGACAACTTGTACAGACCTGCTTGTCTACCTGGTGAGTGAATCTTGAATTGTGTATACTAATATTATAAATACATAGATGTGCTAACGTACTGGCCACATACTTTTATAATTCATATACTAGCTGTGCCAGCGATTACGCCCTCATGAAATTTATTGCCTATATATAAGTTTCATCAAAATCCGTTCCGTAGTTTTTGCGTGAAAGAGACAAACATCCATCCATACTCACAAACTTTGGCATTTATAATATTAACCAGGAGTGCCCGCAGTTTCACTCGCGTTAAATTTTAATATATAAATTTGAATAAAAAATATAGACTATGTGTTATTCTGATGCATAAGCTACTACTATAAAGTTTCATCAAAATCCATTAAGTAGTTCTTGCGTGAAAGAGTAACAAACATCCATACCTACTCACAAATTTTCGCGTTTATAATATTATATTAAGAAACAAAGGAACTACCTTCCTCGTACACTTGATAATGAAGTACTACCTGCTGAGGTTTTCCCTAGTTTTCAAGAAAAGTTCTTAAGAAGTTTCTTAAGAATCGGCAACGCGTAATAATATTAAAAATACGAAGGTGTATCTGTCTATTTATCAACCTTTCAAGATTAAACGAATGTTAATGAAAATAGACATAGGCTTCAGATTTATTATGTAACGTCACAATTTTACATCTATAAATCATAAAACTAACAAAAAAGTGCTTCTTAACAATTTAGTTTTATTTCCTTTTAAAATGTAAATCATTAAAGTAAAGTAAGTACATTTTGAAATGTGACGTCACTGAATGTATGATACCCTCCCTTAGCATACTTCGTCGATCTTCTCCCCGTCCCTATATATTGGACATCCCTAAAGAGCAAGAAATAGATATCCACCTGAACGACCAACCGTCGCCTATGGATAAACTGAAAAAAATATACCATATGACCGCATTACTAAACACACATATCATCATACATAATCACTCCAAATCTGTATAAAGGTATAAATGACACTGAACTTGAATACAAGTTCAGTGTCATTTATATGTTTTTCATTAATTGTTTCTAGATGATGACGATACACTTGAAGGCGAAGATGCTGTTGTATCAGGATGGGGAAGCACTGTCGAAAAGGGACCCGCATCAAATATACCAAATAAAGTAAGTGTTGTTTTTATATGTATTTTGAATATCGTACAAGCTGAATGTTGACCCACCTGATGATGGTACCTGTCATGTGTTGCCATTCGAGAGGATTATGGTATTATAGTTTGTAGTGTATGATTTTACTATATATACTTAATATGCCAAGACTATTTACCCAGTTAGGGTACAGAGAGATTCATTACCATCTTGTTTACGAGTAGTAGTTAAAATAAAAAAACAGAATTTTAGTGAAAATTGGCTTTAAAATAGGTTATCTTACGAGCTAGTAAATAGCCATTAAATTATTTTAAAATTACACTGCATGTTTTTAAAAATAGAATGTCGATCATACTATAGTTATGCGATATTCTTTTGCTTTTTTATCAAAATTAGACTTAACACCTTCTTTTTGTACATTCCACGGCGTCACCAATAAAGGTATCAAGTGTACAACATCCAAATATTCTATCTTTTATCTCTAAAAAAGCAGATATAGTCGCGAGTAACAGCTATTAAACTATACCAGTGGTCGCCTAATAGTCGACCATTCAGATCATAATTATCTTAAAATATAAATTTCAACAATGAATTAATTTCAATTCATAATTTTAAGGGTTCTATTGTCAAAGACTATCTATCTTCTATGTGTGTGTGTGTGTCTCAAATACATGACAGTATGTGTTTCTATACTACTATTATTTTGAAGTATTTTCTAAGCAATATCTATAAAAATATAAGTATTCTGCAGTATGCGAAATTTCAGACTCCTCCATTCGCGCACTTTGCGTAAAAAGGCTTACAAAGTTTTTGTTTTGTGTATTATATAATAATATTGATAAATAAAACTTGCATTTTACAGGCGAAGGTACAAATTTGGACCCAAGATGACTGTAGTGGGGCTGGTTATGGCCGCAGGAAAGTGACTCCCCGCATGCTGTGCGCTAACGCCCCAGACCGTGACGCTTGTACTGGTGACTCTGGTGGTCCCTTACTAGTTCCTCAGCCACACTTCACTATTGTAGGCAAGTTACTTCCTAATATATTAATTTTAACTAGATATCATTCTTATTTTATGTTACTGGAATGGCTTAAAAGCTGACGACCACCCTTATGGTAAGTGGTAGCAGTCGCTTATATGTAAGGGAAGCTATTATTTGTAATCGAAGCTAGTCATCTGCTAGCGATGTACCCTAACAGGTCATCCTCCATGCAGTTCCATCTTGTGCAGTATTTGATAAAAATCACAAAACAAAACCACTAGCAATTAGTTGCAGTATATACATTGATATGACAAAACATTGTGGAATTCTATAATCAATATTAATTTCGACATAAACATTCCTACTTACAATACTTGTATCAGTCTACTGTAGGTAGTGGCCATATTACATACACTATGAACATGACATGAAACTATACTAGACTAGCTAAATAATAATAATCATAGAAATAGCAATAATCATTATTCAAATAAACTAAATATAAGCACTTTAAAATAATACTTTTTTTTTAATTCTACCACTAATTCGGAAAGCAAACTCATCACAGGAGAACACAAAAAAACTTGCGTGTTGCTCTTTTAATAAATGCTGTTCAGAATTACATTTTTAGGAATTTTGCGTGAATACAAACTGCTAAATAGCGAAATATTTATAATATTTGCAAAATTATCACATACCAAATTCACATACATTTTAAAGAATATTGTGTGAAGTATTTGAGTAGAAAATATTTTAAAAAATTACTAATTGTCCCGGCAAACTTTATTTTGCCATATAAATAAATATTGCTATTAAAAGGTAGAAATTTTTACCTATCTAAAAAAATTAAAAAAAAATTGACGACCCACTCTTAACACTTAGGGGTATAAAAATTATTACAATTTCATCAAAATCGGTCAAGCCGTTTCGGAGGAGTATAAACACGAAAGCTGTGACACAAGAATTATATATTAGATTAGAGACGGATGTCGCGTCTGCATCTAGCATTCAATAGGTTTTTTTATAGGTGTTGTGTCATGGGGTCGAGGCTGCGCAAGACAAGGTTATCCGGGAGTTTACGCGCGTGTGGACCGTTTTCTGCCGTGGCTTCGAGCAGCACTCCGGCACGCGTGCATGTGCACTCCGCCTTCTATATTTTAACCATAGATTTCTCTTTCTTCCTCTTTCCCATCTCTTTCCCTTTCTTCCTAGCTATGTATCCCACATTATGATGGCATCAGCTTTCCTTGTTTTTCTCTGTCACATTTCCCTCTCCCAGACATCGTCTTCAGAAACCTCGCACTCCATCATGTCTCCAGCAATTACAACTTCCCATTCCTTTTTAAACATAGATAACTCATATAGATAATAATAACCTAAGAGAATTCACACAGGATCACTAGTCCTAAACAAAAATGGTTATCGAACATTGATAGAATTATTCAATTTTAGATACATAAATATTATGTAGTTACATATAAAAACACCGAGACAGATACAAGTATATTAAAGTACCAATAATAATATGGACTAATCTTTACAATTGTTATACTGTATATATAGGTACCCTAATTTTGTCGAAAGGGTTTTATGCATGTAAGCTAGATACAACATCGCCGAATAGATCATATTTAGAACTGAAATAGACTTTGTTATAGATGCTTATTCAACAGTATTAAGTGTATTAACATAAAACGTTACTGTGTACATTACTATTTATTTTATGTAGTAAATTGTATGTATAGAATAAGGTATAGAAATAAAAAAACTGGATCTTATTTATTCTTACGGTTTAGACTAAAGAACCGTTGTATAATGCTTTCCAAAAAAGTTACTAAAGTAAATATAATCAAGGCTGTGAATTTGTATAAATTAGAATAGTAGATAAAGTAGTTTGTACAATATATGTAGGTAAAATAAAATACGACACGGTATAACGGAAAGACAGAAAATAATAATGGCCCGTGACAAAACCACAGATTCTTTTGGAACATATTCCTCTGTTTGGGTCCTCGGGGACTATAAATTAACTAACTTTTCCCCTAATATAGCTCAAAATTTGAAAATGTTATATATATAATACATATTATATATTTGGTAATGTTTTTTTTTGTAATAACTTTGTTTTATATTCATTATAAAGATTATTTTCACATTTCGACTGATACACAGAAGAAGGATTTTTTTTTATTTTATTATTATTACTGGGCTTATTACCGTTAAAGCCATTTCGTTATGACTGTACCGTATGTAGTATTTATTTGTTACTGTAATTACATAAGCGAGTGGTATTGTTAGACTTATAATAAAGATATTAAAATATTGTTTTATTTTTATTTGTCTTATTGCCTAATGCATACTAGCTGAAGGCTCGCCTAATGGTAAGTAACAAGAATAACCGACACCTAGAATTATATGGATATCCGACAGCGAACAACAACAAAATACATTGTGATATCCTGATATCATCATATGGGCTATGTGCGCAGTGCCTAAAATGTAGTAAGTATTAATAACTAATTATTATGTATTTCATTTTTAATTTGATATGGGCATACTTAAATTAAGTTCTTTACGATATTCAATAATTTTGATTTCATTATGAACTCAAATTGATCTAAATTTCCAATTGATTACATCCATAACGGCAATTGTATTTAAATATGTGTGAAAGAGACAGAATGCTTGATGGACTCATAATCATAACACACATTTCCTTATATGGTAGACTGAGCTAAAATGAATTGACACTTAAAAGTATATATCAAATTTATCTTACATTCTGTACGTGTCATGTCTGTACTTATTTCGACTTAGAATTATTGTTTTTCTTTTTTATGGGTTGGCACTTCTGTGCATTTGCCAATATACAAAATTTGGGAAACAATGCTTAAGTTATAAAGAAATCTTGGACGATAGGTTTAAAGGATCAGTTAAGTTGACAAAATTATTAAATATGAGGATATAGGAAATAAAATGTTAGTATATTATTATTAGGTACTAATTAACTCTTAAATATCAGAAGTCATATTGTATTTTTATATTTACAATTTTATGGTATTACTGCGTAGAAAAATCGAAATACGTTTATACAATATCAATAAGATATCATTAAGATATAATAACATTGGAACATATTTTGTGCAGTCATGAAAGTCTATCGATGTCGATGTCAATTACTACCATTTCCCGCGAAAATGTTGACATTTGAACATTGACGTTTGAGACGCCACTGTCAGCTGATATGAATCGTTTAGTTCTAAATTAAATTAATTTACTTATGTTTTAAAATAGACTAATATTGTATGAAACTTACTGTACTATTTAGTTAAATTGTGACAATTTTCGTTTTTAGTAAGACTGAATATGAATTTTTCGGATAATGAAGCTGTAAGTTGAAATATAACCATGCTAAAAAAAGACCATGTGATCTGCCTTCGTATCATAATATACAAAAAACTGACACTAAAAAATAATAGCACAATTATTAAATAATCTAATATTATTATTACTGACGTAGGACGACACGTCGAGCGTTGAAAGCACCTCAAATACAGACAATACATCGCGTAGTGAAACTCCAACCAATTCCCGCGTGAAGAAGCGAAGACGAGGCAAGAAGAAAAGCACAAAACAAGTCAAACCTCCTTATAAATTTAAGTAAGTTTGAAGTGATGATTTCTTAGTGTTTTTAATTTGTTACTTTAATGAAACAAGAATATCCTTCATTTTTTTATTCGACTGTCAAGTCTTTGCTCTCTATTAAAGTTGCTTTTTACAATCACTAGTTGGTAGGGTATTAAAATTGATAAATTGTTTAGAGAAATTTAAATATGACATTAAATTTCCCTAGTAATACTGAACACCTTGTTTATCAGCATACTTAATTAGTATTTATTAATGTACAAAATAATAATGAATAGTGAATTACCTAGTGTATATTAGAAGTAATCTTTTCATCCCAAAGGCTGACTGGTGATAAATTCCTTTGAGCATTACATCCACCTTCTGTATATTCTTAGAATTTTGTGTGGATATAATCTAGCAAATAGGTCCAATTCATATAAGTAAAATAATAAATGTATATTAGTTACTTGAGTAACAGAATAGTAGTCATAACTGTTAGAGCAGACTTGGTACTGTCTGTATTTGTACTTTATCATCCATTCACAAGTATAATGGAAATTCTAAGCACAAGACTCTAGAATATTTTTTATTAAATGTTTTCAAGAGCAAAAGAGAGGAGATTCTTAAGTTCTCAAGGTAAATTAGCACATTTCAGTGACTGAAATGAATTACATTTATGGTTGCCATTCTATGATTTTTATGAAAACAATGATGATAAATGTCATATTTTAATAACACAACAAGAAACTGTATATAATATTATTACAAACAAATAAACTACATAATCCTACCTACAATTATAAGCTATTGGAAGTTCATTTAAAAAAGCCAATATTAATGACTGAATGAATGCCAATAATAACGCAATAATAAATGCTTTTTGTTGACTATCTTAACATAATTGCTAAGAATTAATGTTAAGATATTGAACAAAAACTCCATCCTGGATAGTATTGGGCTATATTCCCAACTAATCTACTCTGCTAACTAATTTCGATCCAATGATGAAATGCTCCAGCAACATATAAATTTCTTGTTCAATAAAACTATTAACCGACATTATTATCAACTTATTCTGTTCACTGTAAATTATATTTCTACATTTATATATATTTATGTATAAAAGTTATTGGAATCAAATTAATATTATAATTCAATGAATTATAAATTTTAGATGTAAAATAATTGATTAAGAAGTCAACATGGAGCTAACATGCTCACTATTGTGCTAAGCTCCTAAATATATAAACAGAAAAAAAATTATATTGAGATTAATTGTAGGATAAGCATGATATCAGAGTACTTAGAAATAGCGGAATCAGAATTAAATCATTGTAGGCATCATATGATATTGTTATGTACATAGTGCTGTTCATCAGTTTGTTTGCCATTCGAATTGCATAGAGAAAAAAGAGAGTCCTTGATTTTGGTATTAATTTTAATGTTCTTAAACCAGCGTGCACAAGGGAACATCAGAGACATGGGTCAAGGGACGTGAATATATAAGACTTCTGCATCTACCTGGTACTCCCTTTTATTTGATTTTAGTGCAGCATTGCAATACTTACTAAGAGTTTTTTCACAGTTGTAGTGCCAAAGAAGATCATGGACAACCATTATTTGGTTGCCAGTTCAACCACCACTTGGGTGAGGCTGAGCCATTAATATTTGCCGTTGTTGGCAGCAACAGGGTCTCTATATATGAGTGTCCAGAATCTGGAGGCTTCAAATTCTTGCAGTGCTATGCGGATCCTGATGTAAGTCGAATAGTAAATATTTATTTTTATCTTTATCATGCCATCAGTCATCCCATTAGTAGATTCACTAATAATAAATAATAAAATATTGATGTGAACATTATCCTTTATGTGGCAGTTATAGCAATTTTCTACATGACCAAATTGGATTAATTATTTTTCTGGATATAATTTAATACAATTTTGCGGAGGGCCAATTGAGGACCTGCAGTCTCTCCGATTAATATTTAATTTTTTATCAATGTTTCTTTCAGTAAAGAGATATATATATATAATAACTCTATTTGCACCATATCAAGCTACTGTTAATACTTTTTTATTTTTTGTGTCGTCAAATATAAGCCTCTTCACTAATAATAATTATATACAATAATTACAATTATTAAGAACAACCTAGACATGCCTAGGAATAGTGACTGTTTTTATAATATAAGGTCTGTAGATGATAATTATGGGTCTTCAGAAACTTAATAACTGTAATTTTTTTATACTGTCTCGGTGTTCCGCCGCCTTACTTCCGATATTACAATACTTCGCACGGTATAATATTGTACTCATGAGTATGATAACTAGACCATTATGTACATATGTATTTCAGTATTTCTACCAGTTCATTTTTTTTTTACAAATAATAGTACAAGCTTTGTGTATCGACATTTCTCAGGTTGACGAAATATTTTACACTTGCGCCTGGTCTTATGAAGAGGAATCGAATTTGCCACTATTAGCTGTTGCTGGATCTCGAGGAATTGTTCGGATATTCCAACCCGCCACACAGACCTGCATAAAACATTACATAGGTCATGGTCACGCCATCAATGAGGTCAAATTTCATCCCCGAGACCCAAACCTACTACTCTCGGCTAGCAAGGACCACGCACTGCGTTTATGGAACATCATGACTGATGTATGTATAGCAATCTTTGGAGGTGTCGAAGGACACAGAGATGAGGTGTTGAGCGCTGACTTCGATCTCAAAGGAGAGAGGATCATGTCGTGCGGCATGGACCATTCTCTCAAGTTATGGAGACTGGATAAACCATCTATGAATGAAGCCATCAAACAGAGTTATAATTACAATCCACATAGAGCGCTGAGGCCGTTTAACTCATTAAAAGAACATTTCCCGGATTTTTCGACGAGAGATATTCACAGAAACTACGTAGATTGTGTCAGATGGATGGGTGATCTTATTTTGTCAAAGGTTAGTTGGAATTCAAATTATAGCTTAAGAAAAAAATCTCTGTTTACCGCATCTGGGCTCATTTACCTCTAAAGAGCAATTCAATTTGACATTTTTTTTGTTGTGCCATATTATTAAGTGGTAAATCAATACCATCCAATTTTTCCGACCATAGCTACAATCAAAACGTGATTAGATATTTTCTACCATGCGTTTTTATAGCATTTTTTTAGAATTCACTTTTCACTTCACTTGAATGATCTTCCAGCAATATTATTTCCAAACTGATGATGATATTGATCACTTCAAGAAAAAGCTTATTCCTTCTTAAAAGGCCAGCAACAAACTTGCAATTCCAATTCTCCTGGTGTCTCGGGCAATCACTTACCATCAGGTGGCAAGGAATGGCAAGTTTGTTTATATTGCCTGTCCTTGCCACCAAATGTGTATATTATAACTATAAAAAAACAAAGTCTTGTTCTTTTTTCACACTTTTTCAATGTATTATTGTTGTGCAGTCTTGTGAAAACGCCATCATCTGCTGGAAGCCCGGCCGCCTGGAGGACACGGAGCTGCGGCCCGGTGACAACACCGTCACCATCGTACACAGATTCGATTACAAAGAGTGCGAAATTTGGTTCATTCGATTCGCAGTTGATTACAGCCAGAGAGTAAGTAAACGTTGGTTATTTTTAATATAATAATACTGAATACTTGTTGCCTAATAATTGGGTCTTAATAGAAATATCTTTATGGTAAATGAAGGTATTTATTTACCTCTGTCAACTAGCTTACACTAGCTATGGTCATGAATTGGTTAAGCTCGAAACCGCGCGTGAAAGAACAGGTTGTGTAAAGATAGCTAGTTGATGAGAAGACTAGTGTGATGATGATGGATGACGCAGGTGATCGCGTTGGGCAACCAGTGCGGTAAAACGATGGTGTGGGAGCTGGGCAGCGTGGCGGGAGGCTCGCGCGTCTCACAACTCGTGCACCCTCGCTGCGTGGCGGCCGTCAGACAGGTACTTACTTCATTTTCTTATAATACGTCTGTTGCGAGTCTATTTTCAGAGGACTTATTATCAGTGCGTATGAGACCTAAACAACTTCCTAAAAATCAGTGTTTTAAAAATGCTTGATTGATCTTTTTGTGAATTAGTCTATCTTTAGGGAGTAAAATTGTTAGTCCAATTGTTCCTTAAAATATATATATATTTATAATAGTTATGATATAATCCGAACCGATCAATTAATTTTAATTAATTGGTCAGTAGATTGTTCGGTCCGGATTGCTTTCGATTTTCCCATAATATTTACACAGTATTTATCTGGTGGAATATGGATTCTAAATAGAATAGATATCTAATTTATTTTTTTTGTACTCCATATTGCACCAGATAAAGAAAGTAATTAAAATAATATTGAATAAATTAATAATACAAAAATGGGTCTATCGCTAAGCAATCTCTTCCAGAGAAACTTTTATCGTGTTACGACCTAATTTCAAACACTTCTGTGGGAATGTGTCTCTTCCGGCAACATGTAACAGTATGATTATTTGTTTTCAAATATTTGTGTGTCCTACAATTATTAATTTACCACAGAGTCATAAAACTATTCTATATACCTCAAACGAACCAGTTACGGCCACAGATTAGATTATTGCCTTTCGACAAAATTGCAATAACATGTGCACTCTAGTCTTCCTAACTTGAATTTAAAAATGAATCTGTATTTTGTAAACATGTACAAGTTCATTTGAAAAAATAAGAGCGGAGTTTCATATCAGTTCTTAGCTCGAACGCTCTCCGAACTGACACTAGACTTTGACATATCATAAGAGTAATAAACCTGCATGAAAAAAGATATTTTGATATTGAATTAATCGTGAGAAAATATGTTTATAAATATATGTTTCGCAGGTGACGCTTTCACGGAACGGCAAAGTTTTGCTCGCTTGCTGCGATGATGGCACAATCTGGCGGTGGGACAGGGTCAACAATGTAAACATTTAGACGACTAGCATTCCTCGAACTGACTCTTATTAACCTTTAGTTATTTTTATGTAAGCCTTGCCATATTATACACAAATCCACTAGCTACCATTACACGATACGTTCTTTCGCGCGTGATCTAGATGCGCCATTGAACGGATGACAGTGCTCGTATAAAGGAAGTAAAGAAAAATATTAATACATAAAATTTGACGTTCATAAGCGACTAAAATGTTCTAGATAAATAAATTATTTTAGATCTGATTTTACTTTTTGTGTACTCATTTTCGAGCGCGATTATACGTGTCTTTCTCATTCAGAGAGGAAAGCGTGTAGTATGAAGGCCAACCGCGCGCGATATAGTACGGGAAACATCTTTAATGCACGATGGTCTTTATCTAACATTATATACACATTTTCTACATGTGCAATCGTAAGTGACTATTATATACTTTTTATGTGCTCAGTTTCACGCGCGATTGATTATATGTTTTCATTCAGAGATAAAAGCGTGTCATATAAAGGCTAACTGCGCGCGATACAGCACGCGAAATGTATTTAACGCACGATTGTCTTTTTCTAACTTTATATATACACATTTTTACAAAACAAAAAATTTACGTGAAAGAGTGTACGTGTAAAGGCAGCTTTTGAGAAATTGTAATCTCCCCATTAGAAGAGTATTTATATCTACCACTACACTTAGGTAACTTGGTGTAGGGTTTTATTTTGAATTATCCTTCATTCTGGTCTTATTCTCTCTGGTATTAATGCTTGGTCTCCCTAATTGATTTTTACAATACCTTGTTGTTGAAAAGGATTGTTGATGTAATGCCGTAACCACATGTAAAGTAGGTCATGGCAATAAGTATTTAGAAATAGAAGTTGATTTTGATGTGATTAGTCTGGGATAAGAAGAAAGAATGACGACCTCCAGAAATGTGTTCAGAAAATTGATCGATACAATGCTCAGAACTACTCCTTATGTCAGTGTATGAAGGGGTATATTGAATGGAACATAATAATATAATTAAATGTTTCATGTATAGACATCTCAATTGAATCAATTGTGTACAAAGAAAGAAAAAAAAAATCTGAGAATGGAATAAGAGATCTCGGTACGAATAGAATATGCGAGGGCACAATCTGTACTCTCTGGTTTAATTTTAAAATACTTAATGAAATCGATCTTATAAATACAAAAATATTTCTTTTATGAATATACTTTGGAGTCTAATAATAATCTAAACCACTTAGATACTGTTGTTTTGAAATGTAATAAAGACTAAACTAAATTCATTTAGGTCAGAAAAAGTCATGGTAGTGGCCTAATTAAGACAAGAAATTTTTGTTTTAAACTGAAGTGCTGTTGGCAAAACATTTTAATGCTCTGGAATAGCAATGTATACGTAGGGGACGGTTACCGTTTACCGTCAGCTTATTTGCCATTCCAATTACATAAAAAACTGTTATAATAGATATGAAATAAAGTGTTCTGAATGATTGAAATCAATAATTATGATATTGAGATGTTGAAGTAAATTTTATAATTTGGATAAAAGGATTCGGTTTATAGGAGAAATTAATGGTTAAACGAGTATACCAGAACCATATGTAAATACATTCCTTAACTGTATCTATACCCGATGTCAACTTTATCTTAAACGGTTGCTACTTACCATCAGGTGGACCCTGAACATGTTTGCCGTTCTAGTTACATAAAAAACTTTAATTTAATTAAAATAACCGCTGCACTAATTCAAATAAGATTCTAAAATATATATTTACTATTACGAAAAAACGTTATACTGCAAATAAACGGAAGAGATCTTTGTAACCTGCATACATCACGGAAGTGGAATATAATTCCATTACCATCTATTTTAAAATAGTAGGTTTAAGGTATCATCTGAACAGGCTTTTAGTCAGAGATTGTTCCAGAGAATCTTATTACGAATTAACAGTGGCTTTATTAGACCTAAAAAATAAAAGTGTTCTTTTTATTTAAGTAGTTACGTTTCAAGATGACATGTGAACTGAGTCTTGAAGGTCTGACTTTAGAATATTAATGACGTATAATAACCGATTAATTATAGATTATTAAAATAAATATATTATAATTCTGTATTTTTTATACAAATACAATAAAAGACTGCCTTTAGTCAAATTTCTATTTGTATTGTATTATTTATTCAATTTTATATCAACGAGAGTTGTGGATGGTCTTCAATTAGTATATACTGACTTATGACCACACAGAGAAAACATCACAACCTACTCGCAAACTGGTATATCGCCTTTATGGTTCCCAAAGACATCAACTTTAGAACGGGGTGTAAGCTGTAGGTCGCAGTGCTAAGTATCAAGATTTAGCTGATGATAATGATAATCAATAAGAATGACCCAAAAGGTCATCTTAACTATAATCTCAAGTTATAATCTTGCCGATGTTACCGTGATACACACCGAGATTACCAATTTGACATTAAAAAAACATTTGTGTAAAGCACTGCTTTGTAACCTGTCTTTCGGTTAAAGGGTTAAATATAGTAGTAGTTCCTGTTATGAAATCTTAGTCATCCAGAATGGCAATGCTTGAGAGCATCTTACTCGTTGAGATTTATATTTATAGTGTTATTAATTTATACACGCCACTTATCATGAAGAAGACAATCATCATGTTATTCCAAAAAAGTGTTCTTAAATATATTGTTTGTTAAATAAAAATACAGGTTTTTTTAAAAAATTTATTATGACCAACAATACATTCTACGTTTAACAAAATGAATCACAGGGGCGAAGGTGTTATCTCGTGTCACTACTCCAGCTAACGTACACTGTTGCTTCTAATTACGTGTCTAAAGTAACATTACAGCGTTCACATTTTTTAACAAACCAATGCTGCTTTTCCCCCCTTGACCAAACGAGAAAAATCTAAAAATGACTAATGTCAATGAAAAACTTACAAAATCTAAAGTGGTTTATAAAAAGAAACTTTAATGTGAATACGTTCATTATGGGCCATTCACAAACTACGTCACACCAATTTGAATGATTTGTACCACCCCTCTCCATCCTGTCACAGTTGGTTACACCTTAATAATTAAACTTTCGTTTTCTAACACTAAAATTGAAACGTGACGTCTTAGAGATTTTCACAATTTTTTACTCTAATTTTCTGACCCCAACCCCTTATACAATGTCACACTATTGCGGCCTCCTCTCTATGATGTAATTTATAGATGGCCCCTTATGGCATTATCACAGGTAAATATTTAACTATATTTTTTATGATAATACCTACTAGTATACATTTCGACCAATGTTTCTTGAGAATTTTGTCCTCATCCACGAACATATACGTCACGATGAGAGTACTAACCCCGAGTTTGACCAGACATACTTATCTACATTTTGTGATCCACCCCGAATACTAAGATGGTCAAAAATGTTTTATAGCACTTCAAAATTTAATTAATACTAACTATTTTGTACTTTATTCTCTGAACGAAACAGTTATATGGGAATACAACCCAAGAATCATTGGTCCAGCTATTTGCATGATAATTTTGGGTCACCGTAACTTTAAACGCCTTAAAAATGAAGATTGGGAGGAGCGACTAGTTAAAAACTGTCAACGCTGCATTATCCTAATATCTAACACCAATATCAACGACCCTATTCTTCACTACGGCGTAAATATATATTCAGTACCTATATACTAAATCTAACACCAATGACAGCGTAATTGAATTTCAATTATATTCAGTCTTTAAATTTTATAATTAAAACGAGCAATAAAGACTGGCGTAAAAAACAACCAATGTACAAAATTTTAACATTTAAATTTGAGTTTATTTATTACAAAAGACTTTTTTATATATTAATATTTATATCAGATTTACGTCATAATTGAGATACATGTAATACTTTACGTAAAGATAAACTTATTAATATAAAATAAACTATTAAATAGGGAAAGCGACTACACAAAACATATTCACAACATATACATTGAGCTAATGTTTAAACAAAGAAGATCCACAGATATTATAGACAAATAACATACAAAATTATTATAATTAAATGTAAAATATGTGTACATAATTAATATCTATCAGTCGCACGCCATAGAAATAAATTAATAAACATTACAAGAGTTCGTTGAAACATACATGCCTTGGTATAATAGGAGGTAGGACAAGTATTGGCATCATCACAATGGCATAACACAACATTCATATCCTATACCTAATTATATGCGACTGATCATAAGTGAATAATAATTAAGTAATAAAAAGTGAAATACTGAGATCTTTATAAATAAGGGGCCATCCATAAATTACGTCACACATGGGATAGGGAGGGGGTCGACGAAATCTTACATGTGACATGAGGTGGGAGTCGGTCTATGTGTGAATCCTACATGTGACATAAATGTCGTGATGTCACATTTTGAACTACGTATTATTTTCTTAAGCAACTTCGATTTGCTTGTTATGTCAATCTTTTCTAGATGTAAAATATGTGGCCGCACACTCTGGAAGTATAAAAGGACGAAGGAGGGGAGTTAATGTAATGTAATTTACAGACGGCACCCAAGAGAAAGCATTATAACACCAAAACATGGCAACAATCAACAATAAACGTTATTTCAACATTGTAAAGGCACATAACTATAAATAAACCATTCAAAACAATGGTGTATCAATAAATTTTATTACGTTCATCAGTTTATATATTACATTAATTGCTTGTCACATAACCGACGTGTTCTCAGTCGTTAATCCTAAACTAAGGTCCACCAACAATAATCTAATTACTACAATTTCAAAACCGGACGTTTCCGCACTAGGTAGAGAAATTGAAAATTACAATATACTTGCATATGAATGAATGATATGATAAACAGCAAGCAAGATATATTGACGATTTCTTGTTAGACCGCATAACTGGTAAGCTGGAATTGACTATTAAATCTTGTTTAATTTCTTTTAAAGAGTTCACTGTCCAATTATCTAATTACTTTAATAATCTAATATTACAGTTGTGCGACCATATTCACGTTAAATATCTTTAAGTTTTAGCATGTTTAGTTATTGATATGATTAGCAATTCTCCTACGGCTGGGTGACAAGAGAGACCATTCAGTATTATAGTAGCAACCATATTGTATGTATGTACCATACTGTATGGAGCTGCCAACCTAAATCGTTGAATGATTAAGAACAATATAAATTCTTAGAGTTTGACTGAGTAACACCATTTAAAACAAATATACAGAGCTAAAGGTGCTCGAATCGAGACTCCATACAGCCTAACACTGTTTAGACATTCTTTACGAAATGGATTTATGAAGAAACTATTTAGCAGCGGATGGAAATATAACTTTAACGTTAGTAATGAAACCATTATTTTAGTCCAACGTCTATTATAGACCACTATTACTATTATGGTATTGATGGGCACTAGCTTCTATGGTGCTTTTACATAAGTATGATGCGTTATTAATCAATTGTATTGTCATAACTATTGGTATTGGTAATCAGGCATTATCTGAATATTATATTTAAATGCAATATTATAATCATAACACAGATAAATAACACAAAGAAATAATATAGACGCCGCAACTACAAGAACTCAAATTGTAAGAAAATCAAACGTGTCAACGTTTGATTTAACAAATGACTTGCTTTGATTTTTTTTTTGTATCTAACTGGAAAGACATCCTATCTGCCAGTCCAGATGGTATATTGTAACTGTCGCCAACATACATAAAAACCTCTGCTGGTATTAATCTAATATTAATTCTGCTTTGCCATTTGAGGACTACTCAGATATTATGCCTTTGCAACTACTCTAGAATTGCATTTGATGTTAGACATTTAATTTATTAATTGCAAACCACTCTCTATCTGCCACTACAAAACCAAGTAGGCAATATAGTTTTTATCAATCATTCAAACTTTGAATATAGAATATTAGGTTCTAAAGATCCCAAAAAACAATCAAAATTGTAAGGCAAAGTACTTGTACGTGCGACATCTAAATATATCCGTGACAATCAACCTGACTAAGGATATAACGGATACAAACTACTTTTCTACCAGATTACAACTATACCATCACGTGTTTACGAATTACTACAATTGGGGCGGTTGATGCTTACATACTAAGTGCTAATCTTAAAGTGAAGAGACATGAGCATAATATCGTATACAAAATTAAATAACATAAAAAAATCACGTGGGTTTTGACAAATCATACGCACGCACGTTTATCGGGCACGTAATCTTGCGTGCGGACGCCAAGGGCCATTTCACACGAACGTACCGAAAGCTCAATGGGTATTTTAAATAATATTAACTTAACACGCCATATAGCAAGTGGTTAATGTTTCATCGTTAATGTACCTAATTATAGTGATTCTATTACTGTTGATATTATTTACAGAACGATAAACAGAATAATAGGTATCATTAATAGTTTAAACTGACTGCAGAAACATAGTACGTTCAACATATTAAATACATTTCTAAATAGTTAATAAGGTCGCAGTGTGTTTATGTGTGTAACTGGACCGTCAAACAAGCTGACCACCAATCTGCATGAACAACAGCATTACGTTACGCTATTGGTACATACTTCATGGGTTGCTTTTCATGAAAACTAAGGTCTCCGTACAATTGTTGTTCCGTTTAAAGTGTGCCATGAATTTTAATGCCATATTATAATCTATGGTATGGCACACAATTATAGGTAGTGGTTTTTAGATATGATTAATGGAAATTTTAATTTTGTACGTACTATAGTTATTTTTAATGTTGTGTAGGTATACATATATGTATATTGATTATAGAAAAGTATATTTCGAATATATCTTATTCAACCTGAATCGAGACACTATTTATAACAACCCTTTAATGAATGCGTCATTACCCAAGATTCGCGTTTACCCTAAAGTTGCTTGTGCGTGCGTTGCTTATGTTTAATAACGTTAAGACGACGAGATTATAAATTAATATATGGTAAATAGTACGAGATTTATACTATATTTACCCTGACTATAGAATTTGACTAGTTTCAGATCCTTGACTTAGAATCATAAGCATTCCTTACGAACCATTAAAGGTGTGAAATATATTATCTTTGACAGTAACATTTATACAGTATATATTTATTAATTGTTGCAATATTTTTTTTTCTTGATCGACTTATTTCCTTACGTCTTGCAAGAAGTCGATCAAGAAAAACAAACCTAACTTTTTTCATTCCGTTATCTCCACATACAAACATTTTCATATTTAAATAATCTATTATTTCACGACTCTCTTCGTCTAGAAATACCAAATACACATGGGATATTTAAACATAGTCGGATATTATTTCTTAAATTTATTTATATTTCCATACCTTTAAACATCCGTAAATACTACACTAACGCTCTACAAGAGTAACAACATCAAGAAGAAATAGCTTATACATACTATATATAGATAAGAGTGCAATATATTAGTGATATTTCATAAGAAAATAAAAATGATAATTGAAGATTATAATAGTAGAAGAAAGGAAAGAGATAGCACTAGTTTTTCTCTATCTACCCCATAAGAAATCTGGAATTAAAATACAGATATATAATTTGAATTGTAAATTTACAGACGTAGATTTGGACAAAGAGTTGAGGTCCCAAATAATTGTAGTCAGTCGAGTATGAGCATAAGAAATTGAAGTTATCTTAATGTTATATTACTCCATTTATATATTAGTACTATTTCCATATATACCTTTTCATTGAGCTAAAATATAGATAAATTTCAATAGTCGGTAATTTTAAACATAAAAATTTCATTAAAACATTCTCCTATTTAAATTTCTAACGAGATCGTAACAAAAAGTATTATAATATATAATTTAATTATACACATTTTATGACATACATTAACAACGTAATATGTGTTGATTATATTTATTTAAACATATTATAATTTATAAATTTTATACTATTTCTTTATTTCAGAATTTTTCGATTGATCTGCATTTATTTTTAAATACTTTATTACCGATAAATTAATATGATTTATATATTAATACATGTGTATACAATATATAATAAGAAAACATTTCATAGGAAACTAAGATCTACTAACACAAAATCTTTGGTATTTAATATCAACGAATTAAAACGGGCGGGCTGGTATAGTTGCGTGCAGTAATATAGTACCTACAGATATATTGCACGCAAGTATAGCGGGAATTATTTGAACACATTAAAAATTCCAACACAATGCAGGGAGATTCCATTTAACTAACTAACTGCACTTAACAGGCAACTCTCATCGCATGATGCGAGTCATATATGGTATGGTATACACATCACTAAATCATAAGTAAACTACCTATGATTACTGTAAAGAATATTAAATATATATAAACTATTGAATGTTGGTAAATGTTATTTTTAACACAATTCTTTTACAGATCGCCAAGAATAGTATACTCATTGTGGGAGATTTTAAATCATCTAGATAAACTAGCGTACCCAAGGCTAACATTTGCTTCTTGAAATTATTGTCGCTGAATTGTGTACAATTCAATAGCATCCAAAAGACTGCAATAATAACTAATATTACCCAATACGGTTCGTATAAACTAAATTACACCCAACTTTCAGAGTAAAGCAAATTAGACGAAATGCTACGCATAACTCGAGTATTGCAATTCCCTTGTATTATTAACAATTGCTTGAAATTCACGTTTATAATCTGTGCTAGTCTGCGGATAACTTACGCATATCGCCGCGGACAGACAACCGATGTGACTCTATGGTGCGTACTTCGATGTCTTCGGGCTCGCCTGGCGGTCACCTGACACGGCCCGACGGCGACCGTAGATGCGAGCGTATGTAACCCGTACGGTAATCCATTGCATCGCGGTTACGCCCTGAACCGTCGTTACCACGCTGACGGCGGCGACTCCATCTGTTTTGAAAATGGCAGTTTTTTCTACAAGGTCTTCTGTGGTACCGATGTTGTCTGCCGCCGAAATACTTGCTTGCAAGTTATACTCTAGTTTGCCAGGTGACATATGAGTGCGAAGGTAAAATAATGCTCAGGGTTCCATGTTGCTCTAAGCGATGGATATATTATAAGAAGTCGATACTTTTTTCTTTGAAAAATCGCAAAATGCAATTATACAAAAGACTGTTTCTTTTGTATACAATAAACAGATAAATTACAAAATTTAAATTTAAATTAGAATTGAGTATATAGTCGTCATAAAATAGTCTTGTGTAAAATAAAATAATAAAATATTTTTGTGATATAGCAAGCTTCCATGAAATATTCCATATTATTAATACATATAAGTAATATTTTTTATTTATCACTTAGTAAGGAAATATATATAATTCATTGGTTACATTGATATAAGTAACATACAAATCTTTACCTTAAAAGCCTCATGATATAATCAGGCCAGTTATCAGGAAACATCACCAGGAAAAAGCCTATGGTGATCAAAATAACGCCGGCCAACTTCATACCTTCAAACTTCGCGTCATACAGCACTACGTCTAAAGCTGAAAATTAAATTAATTAATATATTTTCTAGAATTACTAGACATATAGGCCTTATATTTAAGGCCCATATGTGTATGGCCCTTATATTTACTAAACAGATTCTGAAAATTATTTTACTTGTTACTATAGTCCCTTTATTGAAGAAAGTTATAAACTATTATAACATCACTCTAGGCCTAATAGAAATGGAGCTGTAATGAAAAATGTAGCTATAAGGTATGAAAACCGGAGAAATGCACGCAGACGAAGTTGTGCGGTTCAGCTAGTATGAAACACGTTTTGTGCTGAACCGCAGCAACTGTATGATGATGAAGAATGTACTATTTTATAAAGGAATCTGCAATATTCCATTTTCTTAGAAATTTAGGGAAATCAGTTACTCATATTTTGTACTTCATAAAATAAAGTAATCTTGTATTCAAAGTTCCAAGTGTCTTGATCCAATTATTTCAACTATACATTGAGACTAATCGGTCAATTGATACAAAGACTTAACAATACCATGGTACAACGCTAAGTATGATCCAACATCAAAACTTCACGACTGTAAGGCCCAATCGTCTAGTAAGAGATGTGAGTCTTGTAAGAATAGTATTATTGTATAGTTATTGGAATATATTAACTAAATAGTGTATTTACCTGCTGAAACTGGTACTGCAGTAATCAAGGCGAGTGAGATGAATATATTGTATGTCACCACATTGCCGAACTGGCATACAAGATGGAACACTGAAAACGAATAATAACATTAATTGTGATACATTAGTGTGAATACATATATATGAATACCATACAGTAGAAGTGGAAAAATGTTGAGGCACTTGATTCGACACGACGAGCTTATTAATATTATCGAAGGAAATATAGATGGCAAGAGAGGAAGGGAGGACCAAGACACAGATATATCAAGCAGATTAAGGAAAAAGTTAAGAGTCGTGTCGTATCAACAACTAAAAAGAATAATAGAAGGTAACGGGAGCTCCACCAACGAGAGCTCGGCTCTTAAATTATGTATGAACACAGTTGGACATATTCCATAAAAAACAATTAAAATAAATAGAAACACATTTTGTTTCGTTTATCATATTATAATTGTATATCGCCACGATGTTTGTCTGATTTAACCTCCGAAACTACTTAATCATTTTTTATGAAATTTGGGTCTCTGTGTAGAATAGATTAGAATAGGAAATCATTTATTCAAATAAATTTAATTTAAGCATTTTGGAATAGACATAGTTATCATTATTTTAATCTAACGCTCATTCGATAAGCTGTCTCATCACAAGAAAAATGGGCTAGAAATTTGCATGTTGCTCTTTTAAATAATCATTGTTGATTGACTTTACATTTTTAATTTGAAACGTTTGAAAACAAACTACCAACTAACACTAATTAAATATGGTTAGATATTAAATACATTAAGATTGAAACAGTCGTAATGATTAGAGTAGACCAATCCCTACAGCCAGCACTCGTTCACGAGTACGACGTATGAGCCAGCCGTCAGTGTAATTTAGTTCAACTTAAAATATATATGTTGTATCTATTAAGTTGAACTAAATTACACATTTATTGATACCAACATTAGGATCGCGTGACCCCCTTAACTAGTATTTTTTTCTAAAAAGTAATACAATACAAGTTTCACTAATATAATATAATATAAGAATATCTATCACAATTTTAAAATTTGAAATAATTAGCTACCAAATAGCTACTAATAATACCTAGAAGTGAGACGCTGGCAACAAGCAGGTGCACCCAAGGCATCCGGTGGGATGGCAACATCTCTGTGCCGGTGAGGTAGAGGGCCAGGCACACCGGCCACAGCAACGACGCACTTACAACGCCCAGAATCGAGAAAAACAAGGCCCGCTGGCCAGAGTTCATTTCTCCCATCACTTTTCTGAACAGCACCTGCATGATATATATATATATATATATATATTTTTCATAGTTGTAATTTTTTTATAAAATTATTATATGTACATTATATATTATTATTACAACATATACATACTCAAAATTGTGATTGATTTGCTGTCTCCGTTTTGTGTATGCTTTCTAAAAAACTTTGTATATGGTATTCACGGTTATTTAATCAGTGTTTACTATGCTAAAAGGAACATACCCTGAAGATAGCATATCCCGCAGCGGCGCACGCAGCAAGCACAACACCGCCGAGAGTGGAGCTGCCAGTGATACCGTCCATATACGCAAGCAATGCTATACCGGTGTCACATAATATCGCTGCCACGATCTACAATCATTACAATCAATTCAAATATATGATTGCATTAAGAAAGAGTACGTAGTGGTTTATTGTCGTATGACTTCTACTTATTAGTGTATATTTACTAAAATAACATTTATCAAAAAAGCAAATAGCAAGTTTCTTACTCTGTCTTCTTGTGACGAGTCAGTGTTTCGAATTAGTGGTAGAATAAAAAATATGACTATATATGTATAAGCGCTTATATTAACTTTATTTGAATAAATATTATTTCTATTTGTAATCAAATCAAAAATAATTTATTAATGTAGGACATTTTAGCAGTTTACGAACACAAAGTTGTATCATACAGTCACAGTGAATTGTTTAGTTATTAGTATTATTACTCACCCTTACACCAACGAACTGCTCATGCAGTATAACCCAAGAGAGCAGATAGACACAGTACACATTGGTGGCAAACAGTGTCACCACATCGGTGGACAGGAGTATCTTCAGTGAATATGTGTACATGTAGATGGTAACCACCCAGAGAAGGCAAAACAATCCACAGCGACTAATAAACCGTGCTAAAATATAATTAAGGATGTTACAGAAATTTATCATATATAAGTATATTTGGAAATGAATTTGAGACCTTTTTAATTTTCTGTCACTATTTTATATAGAATCAAAGTCTGGTAATGAACTATTGTCTTTTTCATAAAGCAGGATTTTTAAGGATTTTCTAATGTCTAAAAATCCAACCATCAATCCAATTTTTTTTATAGTTAATTTCTCTTTATATATTTGGTTTGTTCTCAATAAAGGTCACAATGTAAAGACATATTGTACATTGACTGTTATGAGTAATTCAAGGGGATTACAAAAAATTTGGTATATCAATGTTATTGTAAAAGTTACAATATTTGTAACTTTTACAATGACATTGATATACCAAATTTGCTTAGCACTAAAATGATTAAACAAGCTGACGGTACAGCTAATTAAAAGTAGTAACTATCATCAAGCAAGCAGTCAAGCAATAGATATAAACTGAATCACAACTATGCCAAACATACTGTGTTGTTCGTTATAAAATGTATGCACTGTGAGTCCTACTGAGGTACCTGTAGTGGCTATGCCTAGAAGCATATACCTCATGAATAACATGTGAGCATGTACAATATATTTAAGTTACTTACCAAAAGTAAACCCCTTTTCTCTAAAATCACTGAAGGCATCAAAAACAATATCATTTGGTGACTTGCATTTATTATGTATTAACATAACTATCACATACAATGGATAAAAAAATATTAACCAGTTGGTACAGAACCAAGCCGTGAAGAAAGGTGCGTTGTAGAGATTCTACAACAAAAATAACAACCATTAACATTATACTCTATAAGTAGACGATTAAGATTCAAATTTATATAATTTTCTAACTTACATGTGTATGAACTTTTGATGTTATATTATTGTAGACAGCAGAAGTTGATTCAGTACTGTAGATGTATCCATAGCCATTCAATGGATAATTCTGAACATACATATGCTTGATACAATGTGTAGCGGTGACCCAAGATGCAGTAAGAATAATAGTCATGCATATGCCATAGTAGATCTGGAAGCAACATTCAATTTATTTACTTTTGTATTTCTACTGATAATAATTCTATTAAGTATTCTAAATCAAAAAATATGAGTCATATCAACAATTTTTTAACAGCAATCATTTACTTCTTTGGTTAAGTGCCAATAAATATGCAGTGCTTGCCATGCACTTTTACGAAATAATTTAATTCTACTGTAGAAGACTGTGGCAAGCATTATACGGTAAGTTTTGTAAAATTAGAGTCTAAGATTGCAAACTTTTTTGTGAATAAAATATCAATGTGATGACACCTTCTTAGCAAATCTTGAGCAACAGGACCTAGGGCATTTCTTATCCCGTAACTGCCTCTCTTCATCCTGGCTGCTAGCTGCCGATTCGCTGAAAGCTTGCTGCAATGACGGTTGGGTAGTCAACGGAGGCGCTGAACACACTGACGACTGCGGTGTAAGAGGCGCCCGAGGACTCAGCGGCGTTGGGGGACCGTTTGGACGTTCTCTCTCAACATCACCACCAGTGCGCTCGCTTTCAACCACCTCTTCACTTGTTATTATCACAGAAGGCGCTCTGACACGCTTTGGATTAAAAATAGTAGGCAAGTCACCGTCTCTTGCCATTTTAGATGCCAACATAATTTAAGTGGTCATAACAAAACATATGCATTTAAACTTATTCCTGAATTAAGAATTTAAATTCTAACATCGATAAATGTGTTGCAAAAAATAAAAGTATCAGCTGATTTTTATTTGGATTAAACATATTGTTATTCTGTATACAAGAACACATTTGAAAAACAAAATAATTTCTTTTACATACAAATAACAAGCTTCACAATAACGAAGATAATTTAAAATCTAAAAAATAGGAAATGAAGATAATTATTTATAAAGAAGTGAAGATAATTATTTATAAATAATCAGCAAAGACAAGACAGATCAATTATCTATCAACAATCTATGGAAAATACATCTGAAAATAAAATAAAGTACTCTGCATAAACCATAGACAAAAAGGAAATGATAAGTATTATTGTATCTGTGTATATTGTTTCTTTATCTGTGATTTGTGAAATGTAATCTGTGGATAAATATCTGAATCTTATGCTACTCCACATAAGGAAATTTCTGATTAAAGGAAAGGAATAAAACATGATATTTCACTGTAAGTGATACTGTCCCTTTCACACATTGGTATAATTAAAAAAAGTACGAAAGTAATTTTACGAAAAATACAAGGGTACTGTACTAAAAAATCAAAGTAATTTAATATTAAATTATTAAATTACTTTGTTTTTTTTTTACTAAATTAAAAACTTGTTGAATACACAATATTCTTTGAAGCATTTTCCTTGTAATTATCAAAATATACTTTTTGTTTAGATAACATTTGTTCTTAGAAAATCATTTATTTTTTCAAATCAAATTAATTATATTTTTTGAACTATAGTTCTTTTCAAGTGTCGTTATTTGAAATAGTTTATCCTTAAATTGCGTGAAAATATATATTTTTTTGTTTAACCATATTGTTATATTCAATTTATTTCTCTGTTCTGAGATCTATACAATAATCTCAATTAAAACAAGTGCTTTATTCTATACATGATATATATTGTAGTTCTCAACTTAAATATTAAAAGAATTCTTTTTATCTAAATTTAATATAAAAAAAAAGTTAAGCATTGTGCTCTATTGCTTCTATGGCAAAATTGTACGTTTTTGGAAGTAGATGGTAGCACATGAAGTCACGAAGTTTAAAATTTCTTCGCTAGAGGGAGACTGAAGTAGTTAATTGGATAGGATAGCCTACTTGAAGCATCCGGGACAGGAACTCGCCATCCATAGTAGTAGACATGGCGGGCCACAATCTGGCTAAATGACGAAATAAATCTTGTTTGCTAATATAAAAACGTGTTAATTTCGTAGTAGAAGTGTTGATACTAAGAGACTAGTTAAGTTTTATTGGATTAGGACAAAAATGCAGAATGTTGGACAGTCTGAAAACCGAAATATCGATAAGGTGAATGTGCAACTTGATTTGGTAAAATCGTCCACTCCTCAGAGTTCGGCTTCGAGTCCGGCCAAATCTGAAACCGAAACTTATTCAGGAATACCTGCCAAATACATGACGGACTCATCGGAAAGCGAGGATGATTCTGTATCCGAGGTAAAACGTGTTTTGTTTTCAACAGAGGCGGTGGCAGTGAGGGAATGTGATTATCTGTACCGCTCTAAATACTGCAAGGGACATCTTGTACTTGTCTTGTTTGCCCGTATGATTTATTTCTAGACCTTATAATGATGATATTTAGCTATGTTTGATTAATATCACACAAAGCACACTACAAGAGGCTAATCTATTATACATTTCCATTGAAGTACGTTGCTTGCCAAATATTCCGTAAAACGTCAGAAAGTCATATGTACATACGTACTACTGAGTAATGCATGGAATTATTTATGTCAGCCTCCTCTAGACAGTATTTAATTGATTCTTTGTTATTTCACTATATTAACGGTCAATTTTGCCGTAAGATTCTTTTCATTGTCTATTTGTGTTTTGGTTAAAAGTTGAACCACGGCCATGTTTCTTGGATCACGCATTTTTTCAATGTATAGAGACGATTCATGCATTTAAGCGACGTTGTTTTATACTATATAGCTGATTTATGTAATTTTTGTGTACAATCGGCATAATCCACGACTATACGCTATTGCTTTGACGCGTAATAAGTCGAAATCCATCTACTAGTATTCGCGCAAAAATGATGATCATTGGTGAATTACAAGGACCATTAACAGATATGCCAGCCGTAAAATCGTCCTGATGCACCACATTGTCAGTAGATCTTATATATTTCTCGTTGGTGTTATAGATTTTGCTGGCTTGTTTGTGCCTAAGCAGGCCAGACCTGTTGGTAAGTTGAAGATAACCTTACTGAGTGCAGTGGGCTTCACCAACACCAATTGCTGTTTGAGTGACTTACTCTTAACCTAAATAATAATAATAAAAAATAATAATGTGTGTGCTATGGACAGTTTCAAACCACTCATTTTCTTAATGTTGAATAGTCCTTGTAATTCTAACCAAACCGAGTGCCCGTTCTTACCCGCTTGATCGTGTTTGAGTCTTCAAATGCTTGAATATTAACATGTAACTCGCTTCAAAAGATTTTGGTATGCAACATTTCCTAATTCAAAATTGTTTAATACAAACTAACTGAATTCCAATTAAAATAAACTGAATGTTTTAAGATTACATTGTTATGCCTAGTATAACCTAAATTAATTAAATAACAATTAGATAATGTATGACACTCCTGAATATATACTGATAACTTTATTTTGGCAATACATCAATACAGAATGCCATTGTGATATGTTTTTAACTGACATCTGACCTTCAACCTTTATTGCTTTTGTTTCCATTATATACCATATTTTTATTAGATTTTTGTATTTATCTATGTTAAAATTTAAATTTAGTAAAACCTAACCTCTAATTTAAATTAAGCAAGTTACCTGTTGTCTATCTAATGAATTAATTAGCTGAATAATAATTACTTTTAAGTCTGTTTTATAAAGATTTATTATTAACACAGGAGCATTTTTCAGTCAATTGAACTAAAATAAAATGAAATGGTATATATGAATAGTTAATTCAAATTCAAATATTACAAATAATATACAAACAACTACTACTGCTACTACTACTAAATGTAGTATTATATATAAGTATTTGATACTGATATGTTGATATAAAAATGAAATTGTTTATCATAATGTTATCCACTTTTTGAGATGAAAAATGGCTCACATCGAGAGATACATCCTTATGATACAATCATAATAATTAAATCTTAAATGAAATTTAAGAAATATATATTACGTCAATTTTTATTAGGATTCTTTAAGTTGTTCAGTCATGAAGAGATGACAAACAAACAGACAGACTTATAATGTTATTAGCCTGTTGACATTCACATTATATAATTGCTAAAGTTAAAATGGCAATTAATATTAGATATTTATTATAATTATTTGTTTATAATACTTTCTCATATTGGTTTCAGAATCTTTGTTGACTTGTAATACAAATTTTATTCAAACATTTCAATTGTAACAAACTATATTCGAGTAAACACTATTGATAAAAATGAGAATCATCTAAGTATGTTCGGAATATGAGAATATATTACATAATATGTAATATATTCTCAATGTATGGATGTATATATGATATTATATAATAAAATCATTTAAGTATGGGATCCTCCTTTTATCCTACTGATTAAAATAAAAGTAATAAAAGTTAGCTTAAAGCCCCAAATATTACTATAACGGCCATTTTTTCTTGTCCATATTTCTTATTTTATACATTGTATGGTTGATTTATTCTATCTTATTTATCTTGTTACTCAAGTGACTATTTATTTGTGTCAACTTTGCTATGTAACAATTTATACCACACAAAATTTTTAAAAATGTAGTTCTGAATGACATTTAAATAAAAGGCAATATACAAGTTTCTTGCTCTTTCTTGTGATGTATTCTTGCATTTGGAATGAGTAGTAGTATAAAAAAATATGATTGTTCTAAAGTCCCTATATTAAGTTATATGAATAAAAATTTATGTTTATTTCTATTAAAAATATGCTTTGTGCATATTAAAATTAATTTTAGCAAGCATATTAATTATTTATATTAAAATTGGTTAACATAATCACTTAATTAAATTGCATTCAAATGTAGGTATAGTATGTTTACAACAGTGTAAACAATACATTAATTAGTCACATCCATGCACTCTCCATTTCTGAGTCTAAGATAATAAACAATAATGTTTATACTTTGTAGAAGGCTTCTCATTAAATAAATGTTTGTTGTTTATTGATGAATCTGGTAAATTTGTATTGTATATTAAATCTATCTGAAAAGTAGAAACTGATTGATCAATTCATAGTTGAGGTTCTAGAAGCACTAAATTTTGATCAGATCTTTTTGTAATGCATGATAATAATGAAAGAGTATGTAATATTTTCGTTAGTACAGATAGGTCCACTAGTCTCATCATCTACCACTGGTATAACAATGAAATGCCGTCAGTTAGTTTTTGTGTTTTATTCACGAATTAACTGCTATTGTGTCTAGATGGGATAAAGTGGAGGTTGACCCGACATGGTACATTGCTAGTAATGGGCCCTCTCGACTACCATGTCAAGTCCACCTAGACTCGAAATCCCTACTGCTAACAAGCCCCACATTGTTCCATTTTGATCATATGATAAAGTTTGATGGTGATGATGGAGTATCAACATATAAAGTTATTGCTCCTCTTCATCACCAATATGTTCTACGTGTTAGGTTTACTAAGTACATACACTTATTATTTTGAAACTTTCTCAATTATTTAGATGATTGTTTACAATCACTAGGGTTTACTCTTATATTGGTCATGATTATTATAGTAGATATTTAAAACAAATGATAATGATTATTTAATACATAACTAGATATTCAACTCATAAATATTTTATTTCATTTTACCATGTAAATGGCATGAAAATCTAAATTAAAATATATTTTTGACCAGACTTTATCTTGATTGAAAATGAACAATACTCTCTTGTAATTAGTATTATATTAAGTTTGCAAAACTTATAATCCTATATAATCTATTTATATCTCAATTACAATTTAAGGTTTATATCTCAATGTCTGAATTTATTGTATACTAATATATATGTGCATTTATTATAGTGATAATAATCAATATTTTGTATTGGTAGGCGGAAATGGAAGAAGAAGGTGGTGCTGCAGAGTCATCCAAGTTCCTATTGTCTCATGATGATCCTGAGAGAGCCGTTGATCCTGAAATGCAGGCGAGACTGGAAGCCCTCTTGGAAGCAGCCGGTTAGTAATTGTTTTTATTTTAAAAAGTTTAGGATGTACTTATCAGATTTTTTTTAAATGTGCTACTTAAAACACTCACACTTACTCTTATTATTGAGTAAAAAATACCAACTGCTTAGTAGGATATTCTTAGGAAAATAATAACCTTAAGAATTCATACAGCGCAATCTAATTCCAAGCTAAACTGAATTTGTTTTATGGGTATTAAACAACTGATATAAATATTTTTTTTTGTAAATACATACATAATATACATAGAAAACACGCAGACCAATACAAAGTATCATATTCATGATACAATTATTTGGACAGAATAATCGAATCCGCGACCATCGATAGTAAGGCGGTGTGCGGCGGTGCCATAATAGAATATATCTTTAAATAATTGTTGATATTAATACCAATAATTTTAGTTTTCTTAGAAAACGCCTTAATACATATTCAAAAAGTAACAAACAATAATTTGCATTTGTCTTGCACTTGAATAACATGAATTCGTTATATGCATCAGTAAACTTAAATTAAACGGACCAACGGAACGGATGGATTTTTACTTACTTTGGGACACTATCTGCAAGTGATTGGACCCAATATATTTTTTTAAATAAATAGAATGTTAAACAAGCTTACGGTCCATCTGATGTTAAGTGTTAACCGTCGTCTATATGTATGAACAGCACCACGGACCTCAGTTTATCATGCCATAGCCGTGATACCACTCATGCGTTGTCATTTACAGAGAACTAAGATGGCATGCCTCTTATCCTGTAATTGAAATTTATTAAAGACTAGCTGTGCCCGCGACTTCGTTCGCAAGGAAAAGAGAACGAATGAGGATTTTCCATTTCATCTCCTATTTTATTTTACCCCCTTAAGAGTAAAATTCATACAAACTTTGAATGTAATATTGATAGTCAAAAGCTTAAAAAATAAGTTTCAAGCTTCTAGCTTTAAAAATGATTATACTTATAGAACGTTTCATCTCCCCTTTCAACCCCTTACAACACTTTTTTGGCATTAAAAAGTAGCCTATGTCCTTTCTCAGGATCTAGACTATCTGTATACCAAATTTTATTAAAACCAGTGCACTAGTTTTGGCGTGAAAACGAGACAGACAGACAGAGTTACTTTCGCATTTATTATATTAGTAAGGATTACATACACAGCGAGTGCCGAGAGTCCGTTAATTGTTATACCATTAATGGTAACAGTCTCAATAAATGGCACATTTCCTTGGCAATTCAAAACATAACCTGTTTAGTAATTATGCTTATATATGTATATATAAACTTTCTTAAAAGCTTCAAGAGATATTTTCAAAACCATTTTTTTAAATTTCGTCTTACGACATCTACTTATATTTTTATTGTCACCAATTGTTCCTTAAATTCATGTTGAATCCATCTTCAGTATTTAATGTTCTAATATTTCGGAATGTGGCTGAATAGAATAGATATTATGTTTATGTTAATTGGATAGACTTGTTTACAAACATATATAAGGTCATTTTTTCTATGATTTCTGTCACCGGGTCCGTAATGTAGATAACATTAAGAAAACATAATCAAATCAAAAATAAAAATATAATACAAACTAAATAAATGCTCTTTAGACACTGTTATTTCACATTTCACACTTTAATATCGAGGATATTTGTTCTTCTAGAAGAAAACAATACTACCATAACTTTAGTCACGGGTTCTCATTATTTTTTTCCCCGTGGGAATGTCAGGAAATCGTGTCTTAGTTCACTATTGGATACATACGTATAACGTAATAAGAAATACAAGATCAGACAGATACACCAGTAGGAATTGATAGAACAGCCAGTCAGTAGGCTCTTAGAGTGGGATCACTTTATCCAGTACAGGCTGGACGGCCACCAATTGAACGACGCGTTGGCTCTCAGATCTGAAATTAATAATGTGAACACACTCTTAGAGAATAATAAGACTATATGCATACATAAATTAATTGAATATGTTACTCGGTAGATTTATATTTATATTTGAGTATAGGGCAGTTTATTAATATATTTAAACAGGTTTTAACATGAATATTTCTATGGTACCACTCGCGACGGTAGTTGAACAAACTGCCGATACCTATCAACTTGACATTTAGTTGTTACTCCAGTCAGCTCGTGACCACGGCTAGTGCAACCTAGTCGAAACGTCGAGAGAGGTAGATACTTTTATTTACCCTAAAATGATTCGTGCTAAAACCCGTTTAACTATATTAACTATATATATAACCATACTATTAAACGTTAAAGTTGAAAAATATGTGTGTTGCAGTTAAAATCAAATTCACGTCTTGACCTTATTAACACAAATGCATTCACAAGCGTTTGTCTATGTATGTGAAACAAATCGATAAGTTGAACACGATAGTTCAATTTGCAGAGTGACGCGATACTGTGAGCTGCAGAACTGGAAATATAATCTAAAAACGGGAAAACGTTACGTAACAAAGATTTTTACGGGGTTCTACTTTGTACAAAGTTGCTTTGGTCTTACCTTTGTCTCACCTACTTAACCTGCCAAGCAAATTGATGTAATTTGCTTGGCAGCTTAATCTTAATAATATTATAAACGCGAAAGATTGTGAGTATGGTTGTTTGTTACTCTTTCACGCAAAAACTACTGCGATTTTTGGTGAAACATTACAGTAATATAGCTTATGCATCAGAATAACATATAGGCTATATTTTTTATTAAAATTTAACGCGCTGAAACCGCGGGCACAGCTAGCACTTTATAACAGGTGTTTAGCTTGAAAGAAAAAAAGGAAATTGTAGGACACAGAGGCATAACATCTTGTCCCTAGGAATGGAAACACATGAGTGGTATTACGGGCGTCCCATGATGACGTAATTTTGGTTGGGCTCGCTCATTTACCGTCAGATGGGCTGTCAGCTTGTTGCCCACTCCAATTACATAAAAATGATTGTGATATTGATAATATTAAAAAGAAGTAATTGCTTTTTATATAAAGCACATGTGATTTGTATAAAATAAAAGTTTAGTTTCGAACCTTAGCGTAGTAATTGGTATTCGGTACTGATACATGGCGAAAGTAAACTATATATTAGTCAGATTTAATTATAATAATAATAATTACATAGAATTGAAGTAATGAAAAAATTATTATTATAATTAATTACTTAATAAATAATCTCAGTACAATTCACAGAACACTATTTAAACCAAAGTTAACCTACATAGATTTTTTTCGTAAATACGTACATATTATACATAGAAAACGTCCAGACCGATACAAAGAATCATACTCATGAATACAAATGTTTGTGCCATGCGAGGAATTGAAGCCGCGACCATCGGAAGTAAGGCCGTGTGCTAAACCGCTAGACCACCGAGGCCGTCTAATTGATTTCGATTCCATTGCTTCAAAATCAGCCTGGTGCATGAAGCAGCAATGTGTACGTCGTTGTTTTGATCTGAAGGGTAAAGGTCGTTGTACATACCACTCAGATACACTAAACGACTTGTCATTCAAAATTGAACTTTATTAGTCCTGCTTTAATAATAGTTTTAACAATGGCATGCTATGTTTCCTAACGATGATGGTATTAGCGCAAGTGAGCCATTGGCTAATAATGCCTAGTTATTGTAAAATGTATTATGCTACATACAACTTAAAGATCACATGGAAATGTCAAGTTGCTTACAGTGTTCCCGCGGTTCTCTTATATCGCGTTTTCACTGAAATACATACAAAACATATGGTCACAATAAGTCTAACTGACAAATTTTTTAGTTCTATTAAAGAACTTGTAGAAATATTATTTGAGACAATTTTCATTTTTTAAACAATTCCCATTGCGTCATTTTATCACAAGCTAAGTAAATCTTATGTTATGGGTTCTAGACAATAAATAAGGATATATTTTTTTTTGCAAATACATACGTAATGTACATAAAAAACAACCAGATCAATAATAATCATACTCATGAATACAAATGTATGTACCGAGCGAGGAACCCGCGACGATCGGAAGTAAAGCGGTGCGCTAAACCGCTACCTTAATGTGAAGGCGAATTGAACCTTTCAATTTCATTATGATTTTTAGATATAGGATTTTTATAAAGGACTTGTTCGTTTATATTGGGCGATGATTGCCATTTCATATTATTCGGTCCATTTCCAATAGTGGAGAAAAGTTGCATTCGTGCTTTGAGATTCAGTATTCATTGATTGCATATTCTTAAAATTTTATACATACACACGTTTAAATATTTTATCCTTTCTTTTGAAGGTAAATTATAATCATAGGACCTAATACAGGTCGAGGTTAGGTCCGTTAGGTCGATAGTCTACATCACATTGCCTTGATTTCTTTACGAACGTTAATAAGTTTTGCAATTTCAAATTGTAGTCTTCTATATATATATATATATGTCATTTATTTCTGTACATATTTCACAAGCTTAATGTACTATGTATGTAATGCATTGACTAAAAAACATACTGCCATATTAAGTTTTATCCTTACAGTTGATTTATAAAAAATATTGTTAATAATTAACGTGCTATATATAGTTAATACGTTAATAAATAAATGCAAGTACATAATATCATTTGGTCAGCCATTATTTGAAATATAAAAATAGTTTTTGTTATTGACCGATAATGAAGCATTCGGCTTAAAGCTTTCGAGCTTACTAGGGATCGGCATTAAGCCCATTAAGAATTCATGGAAAAGTTCATAAGCGTAAATGTATATCTATCTCTTTTCACACCGTGGCCCTTATGATTAAATTCTTACTCGAAACGAAGTTTATCGTCATCCAGAAATTGAGACAGAAATATAAATTGACACAGTTTAGTAGACCTCACAGAGGTAGACTGTAAAAAGTCGTCTGGATATTTCAATCCAACCTATTTTAGGCGCCAAGCAGTTTGCCTTGTAAGCTAAAGGGTGAGGGTGGGGTTATAAGTATGAAATTACTGAAAATGGAGGCATGCTATCTTAGTAG